GATATTTTTTGATGGTTTAATTTTGTAATCTTCCACTTTAATTTGCTGTTCAGCATACTCCAACTAAAGCCTAATTATTGCCAGGAAATGTCATGAATTGTTCCTACTAAATGAGTGTTTTGCATCAGCGTTTACTGTAGAAATTGATATGAAAGGTACAGAATGTGGGGAAATAAATAGCATTATCTTGAAACATGTCCATATTACTGAGGAGATGGTGCTGGACATCTTAAAACACATAAAACTGGATAAATCCCCGGGACCTGATAAAGTGTACCCTAGAACTCTGCAGAAAGCTAGGGAAGAGATTGCTGGGCCCCTTGCTGAGATATTTGTACCATCGATAGCCGCAGGTGAGGTGTTGGAAGACTGGAGGTTGGCTAACATGGTGTTACTATTTCAGAAAGGTGTTAAAAAAGCCAGGGAACTATAGACTGGTGAGCCTGACATCAGTGACAACAGGGTGCAGGGCTGGATGAACACAGCAGGCCAAGCAGCATCATAGAAGCAGAGAGGCTGACGTTTCGGGCCTAGACCCTTCATCAGAAAAGGGGGAGGGGAAGGGGGTTCTGAAATAAATAGGGAGAGAGTGGGAGGCGGATAGAAGAGGGATAGAGGAGAGGATAGGTGGAAAGGAAACAAACAGGTCGAAGAGGCGGGGATGGAGCCAGTAAAGGTGAGTGTAGGTAGGGAGTTAGGAAGGGGATAGGTCAGTCCAGGGAGGATGGACAGGTCAAGGGGGCGGGATGAGGTTGGTCGGTAGGAGATGGAGGTGTGGCTTGAGGTGGGAGGAGGGGATAGGTGGGAGGAAGAACAGGTTAGGGAGGCAGGGACGAGCTGGACTGGTTTTGGGATGCGTTAGGGGGAGGGGAGACTTTGAAACTTGTGAAATCCACATTGATACCATTGGGCTGCAGGGTTCCCAAGCGGAATATGAGTTGCTGTTCCTGCAACTTTCGGGTGGCATCGTTGTGGCACTGCAGGAGGCCCAGGATGGACATGTCGTCTGAGGAATGGGAGGGGGAGTTGAAATGGTTCGCGACTGGGAGGTGCAGTTGTTTATTGCAGACCGAGCGTAGGTGTTCTGCAAAGCGGTCCCCGAGTCTCCGCTTGGTTTCCCCGATGTAGAGGAAGCCACACCGGGTACAGCGGATGCAGTATACCACATTGGCAGATGTGCAGGTGAACATCTGCTTGATGTGCAAAGTCTTCTTGGGGCCTGGGATGGGGGTGAGGGAGGAGGTATGGGGGCAGGTGTAGCACTTCCTGCGGTTGCAGGGAAAAGTGCCGGGTGTGGTGGAGCTGGAGGGGAGTGTGGAGCGGACAAGGGAGTCACGGAGAGAGTTGTCCCTCCGGAAAGCAGATAAGGGTGGGGAGGGAAAGATGGCTTTGGCGGTGGGGTCGGATTGCAGATGGCGGAAGTGTCGGAGGATGATGCGTTGGATCAGTGGTGGGCAAGTTGTTGGAGGGAATCCTGAGGGACAGGATTTACTTGTATTTGGAAAGGCAAGGACTGAATAGGGATAGTCAACATGGCTTTGTGCGTGGGAAATCGTGTCTCACTAACTTGATTGAGTTTTTTGAAGAAGTAACAAAGAGGATTGATGAGGGCAGAGCAGTAGACGTGATCTATATGAACTTCAGTAAGGTGTTCAACAAGGTTCCTCATGATAGACTGGCTAGCAAGGTTAGATCACATGGTATAAAGGGAGAACTAGCCATTCGGATACAGAACTGGCTCAAAGGTAGAAGACAATGAATGGAGGGTTGCTTTTCAGACTGGAGGCCTGTGACCAGCAGTGTGCCACAAGGTTCAGTGCTGGATTCGCTGCTTTCCGTCATTTATATAAATGATTTGGATATGAGCATAGGAGGTATGGTTAGTAAGTTTGCAGGTGACACCAAAATTGGAGGTGTAGTGAAGAACGAAAGTTACATCAGAGTTTCTTTTTTAATTCATTCACGGGATGAGGGTGTCACTGGCTAGGCAGCATTTATTGTCCATCCCTAATTTGCCCAGAGGGCAGTTGACAGTCAACCACATTGCTGTGGGTCTGGAGTCACATGTAGGCCAGACCAGGTAAGGATGGCAGTTTCCCTCCCTAAAGGACATTAGTGAACCAGATGGGTTTTTCCTGACAATCAACAATGGATTCATGGTCATCGTTAGACTGTTAATTACAGATATTTATTGAATTCAAATTCCACCATCTGCCATGGTGGGATTTGAACCCAGGTCCCCAGAACATTATCTTGGTCTCTGGATTAACAGTCCAGCGATAATACCACTAGGCTATTGTCTCCCAACGGGATCTTGATCAGATGAGCCATTGGGCTGAGGAGTGGCAGACAGAATTGAAAGTGGAGTCCCAAGTAGACAGGATAGTGAAGAAGGCATTTGGTATGCTTGCCTTCAATGGTCAGTAAATTGAGTATCGGAGTTGTAAGATCATGTTGCAGCTGTACAGGACATTAGTTAGGCCACTACTGAAATGTGTGCAATTCTGGTCTCCCTGCTATAGGAAGGATATTGTGAAACTTGAAAGGGTTCAGAAAAGATTTACAAGGATGTTGCCATGGTTGGACGGTTGAGCTATAAGGAAAGGCTACGTAGGCTGGGGCTGTTTTCCCTGGATCATCAGAGGCTGAGCAGTGATCTCATAGAGGTTTATAAAATCATGAGAGGGGCATGGATAGGGTGAATAGCCAAGGTCTCTTCCCCGGAGTGGGGGAGTCCAAAACTAGACAGCTTAGGTTTAAGGTGAGAGAGGAAAGATTCAAAAGGGACCTAAGGGGCAACTTGTTCATCAAGATGGTGTTGCGTGTATGGAATGACCTGCCAGAGGAAGTGGTGGAGGATGGCACAATTACAACATTTAAAAGGCATCTGGATGGGGATATGAATAAGAAACGTTTAGAGGGAGATGGGCCAAATGCTGTCAAATGGGACTAGATTTATTTGGCCTATCTGGTCTGCATAGAAGAGTTGGATCGAAGGGTCTGATTCCATGTTGTATAGCTCTATGACTCGATGACTCTAATTGGACTTTTACCACTTACTAAATATCACAATGAATACCAGAAATAGAAGGTAATCTAAAATGTAAATTACATTTCTTTTTAAACTTACAGTTTCAGTTTGTGATAACACTCTGAGCTGCTGTCAGCTCAGGTTCTTCAGTTCTCCTGAGCCATCCAAAAACCTAGCTCAACATTGCAGCCAAATAATTTCCCTGCAGTCTGACTGACAAGCCATATTGGGAAATCTGACGGCCAGCTACAGTCTTATGTAGGGAAAGCTTGAGGCAGAATATTCAGCAAGTCACCGGCCAACTTCTCATCATGACATGACACCTCAGGTTTTCTGGCCAATGCTTCCCTAGCTTAATCTATTAAAACAAAGTGAAAAGGAACAAAATCCAATTCCTAAAAGCCAGATAAACTGGAGGTGGGTGTCCATTTAAAATTTAAGAACACAAATTATCAATTGATTTAGATACGAGTGTCAAAACTACAGGCAAAACTTGGGTGATATCTTGCTTTTTTAAAAAATTTAAGTACGGAGGTAGGCCAAAAAGCAGGGGATATTTCTAATCAAGGGTGGATCAAGTTTCCTTGTGTGATTACCTTTATCGCAAATTATTGTATGTGCATGCACGGGTTACACCTCCAAGTCTTACGGGCAGGAAATTCTGACCTCCCCCTCCACTCATGCTGAGACCCCCCAGGCTCCAACTCCATGCAACCTAGTCAAAGGCATCACTTCACTCTCTGAAACCCAAAAACATCACTCAGCCTCTGTTCATCACCCCCACACACCCCTTGCTTCAGCAAGGTTTCACTTGAGACTTTTTTTTGTCCAGGAGGGAAAAGACACCCTATTCCCCAAGGATATCAATGGACAGAGGTGGCTGCAGAGGTCAGCACCCCATGGGCAGAACAAAAGGCACACATGGCTGTAAAACTGGCCGGTTGATAGAAAACAGAATGTAAAAGCAAGTGGATTTTTTTGGTTGGAAGGTTTGTCATGATGTTCTCCAGGGATCAGTATTGGACCCTTGAACCTAGGATACAATAACGAGGTCATCCTGAATTTGTACAATGTACTAACTAGACTTCAGCAGAGAAATGTGTGCAAAGGAATGTTGATCAAACATCTAACATCGAAGCACTCATCTGTGATTAAAAAGAACCAGGAGCAAGATGTTTGCTTTCTATTTGAGAACTTGACAACCCTCTGGGTTCTTATCAAGCTGCTCGTGTCTTGTGTGCCCTACAGCCAGCTCTACATGATGAGGGACATCCTTTTTTGGTGTTGCTGGCCAGACCAGTATTTATTGCCCATCCCTCGAGGGCACAAATGGCATTAAGTGTCAACCACATTGCTACGGATCTGGAGTCCCATGTCGTGCAGACCAGGTAAGGATGAAAGGTTTCTTTCCCGAAAGGACATTTGTGAAACAGATGGGTTTTTCCAACAATAGACAACAGTTTCACAGTTATCATTAGACCCTTAATTCAAGATTTGTAAAGAATTCAAATTCCAAAATCTGGTGGGATTTGAACCTGGGTCCCCGGAATATTGCCAGGGTCTCTGGATTAATACTCTAGCAATAATACTACTAGGCTCTCGCCTCCCCAGTCACGTCCTCGATCACCATTATCTAGTTTTCCTCGTTCACATTCTGCCTTGTGCAAATCAAAAAGCCATAGTCTTTACATTACTTTCCATCCACATGGTAATTAGGTCAATGTGACCGTGTAGCCTTCATTGTCCCCTGCAATACAACCCAAGAATCTTGGAATCGACAGCCTACCAAATAGTTTCATTCACACGTCCGTAACTTTCAGATAACTGAGCCTGTGAATGTTGCTGCACACAACATGGGAGACCATCTCCCACACCTCATCACCACTGTTGGTGAGTTTTAGGTGCCCGTCTTTTCAGAGTGAAATGAATCATGTCACATGGTTGGATGTTGCTGTCACGGGTTGATGAAGCTTAATTGGGCTTTACCTCACAGTGAGTGCTTCCCCTCTGCGCTGCGGTATTCATTGAGAGCTTGTACTACAGCATTTTTCACTTTCTGCTCTGATTCCCTCAATTATATGTGTTACGCCACACAAGAACATGCACAAACATGTTTCAGGCCCCTCCAATTTGTACAGCTCATTCTCTGCGTGATCTTCTTTTACAAGCCAATTAAGGAGCAAGACTGTCAATTTTTCATTTGATTTTCCCTACATCACTGTGGGTAGGGCTTCTTTATTGCTCTGGTGTCCTCTCTGTCTCCTTCAAACTCCCCCTGTAAGTATCAGCCCCTTCACTATCTCCCTTGACATTCACTTCGCCTGGTCCCATTTCCACTTCCAGCCTTAGCCTCACATCATTCCCTCTTCAATTCAGCTACTTTTTCCTCCCTTCATCCCACATTTATTACCCCATTGTATTCCCCAACCTAAACAAGTAGCTCTCAGCCTGCTTTGTCCCCCTTGCCTTTATCACTGTGAAATTTCCATTTTCCCCCTCCATTTCCCGGGATCCTCTCAGTATCCTTTAAGTTCCAGTCTCCATCATGCCTTTCATTTACCTGAGACTTTTGAGTTAAGCCCTGCTTGACCTCCCCAGTCAGGTTTGGTGTGGTGTCAGTGTGGCTGTCTCACACGGGCAGGTTTGATAATCTATTCAAGTTTCACCTTTACTTTGTAAGCATTTGCACAAATGAAAAGTTGCATTGTGAAGGAGGCAAGTTACTGAAGAAGTTTACGCTCACCAGAGCTTTGAGGAAGAAATATACCCTGCCGAGCACATGCCTGATATAAATAATCAGGTTTGTGAACCAAATGCTCCCATTTCTGCCTAATGAGTACACATGGCACACCAAGGAATGGATAAGAAGAGGCTTACCGATCTGAAAAGTTTGAAGCACTTCCCACCATAACTTTAACCCGCTATCGGGAAACACCTTCCATCAATTAAGTCCCCATCTTCCTTCTAAAAGCTTTGGGAAGATTCCGGGCCTTGTTCCTACTGAATAAAACAGAACCTGCAACCCTAGGGATTCTATGATTCTAATACTAATTGTGTCAAACCTGCAGCTCGAAGAATGTCCAGGACTACAGAATTTGTAATTTTGTTCAGGAGACTGGATCCAGCCGCTTTGGGCTGAATAGCTGCAATATCACCTGATCTTCCAATTCCATGCATAAACCTGAAAAAAGGAAAAACAAATTCAAAGATTAAAATAAATGTCAGATTTTACTAAAAGTTAATATCATGAGCTATTAACATGACTGCTCACAATCTGACACTCCTCTGTTCATTTAAATTTCCTGACTTTTTTTAAAAGTGTTGTCAGGGAAGCTACTATGGTGTTGAAATTCACAACAAACTTCTGGCAAATTCCATTCATATTTATATATCAACAAAGCACTAATTTTGGCTTAACCAGTGGAAAGTCCAGTTCAGCCCCTATTTTTGTTTCTCTGGGGTCTACTTGGCCTTGCCCCACAGTATGGCTTACAGAAGTTACTTTCGCTCTGACAAATTCACTTTCTGCCCAGTCTATGACCTAGTTGGTTATTTGTAACTGATCAAACAATTTGTCCAACCGTTATTAATATTCCTCCCAGGTTTGGCTGAAAATAACCAATGACCGTCATATACAACGCAAGTTGCATAATCCATCAATGACCTTGTTTCATAATCTTTGAAAAGTTGCTGGCACATATTTTATTCTGAAAAGCATGACCTCACATCAACAAACACCATCTGGGGTTGTGAAAGTTGATATTTTTGTGGCTGTATCAGTCATTTAAACTTGCCAATATTCCTTTAAGAAGTCAATTTTTGCAATGAATCTGGTTTGCTCGATCCTCTCAATTCAGCCCCCAATTGTGGAATTGAATATGAATCTGCCTTGGTTGCTAGATTGACTTTGCAATAATCTATACCTAATGTCTGTATCCAGCTGGTTTCAGCACCATCACAATAGTGGCCTAGTGGTATTATCACTGGACCGTTAATCCAGAGACCCAGCTAATGTTCTGGGGATGCTGGAATTTGAATTCAATTAAAAAAATCTGGAATTAAGAGGCGAATGATGACCATGAATTGATTGTTGGGAAAAATCTGCAGCAAAAGGCTCTACACAATGCACAAGTCAGGCAGGAGACAGTAGGCAGCCCTGCCTGACTCCGGATCTAATCGGGAAACTTTCTGATTCACACCCATTGATTGAGACTACACTACTGTTCTTGGCACAGGGCAGTCAGGTCCAATTGCGGACTGCCTCCCCAAAGCCCATTCTGGACAGCACACCCCTCATGTAGGTGTCTGATATCCTGTCAAAGGCCTTTCCTGGTCCAGGCTGATGAGACAGGGGTCCACAACCCTGTCCTGCATGTAGGCAATTGTATCCCTAAGGAGCGCGAGGCTCTCAAGAGATCATCCTGCCTGGTACTGCACAGGTAGGCCAGGTGCCAAAACATCATATCTTCAGGTTCCCAAGCTCCAGAAACTATGTAAATAATGCGACTATTTAAGGGGTAAGTATTAAAGAGTAACGCTTTGAATTATGTTGATTATTTATTTTAGCAAAACTGTGAGCATGAGGTTTGCAGAGTCAACGTGCTGTTGGATGTGATCACCTGGCTTTTAACTGCCTCAACTGGGAGGGAACGGAAAAAGGCTCAGTGGTCAGAATTACTCTGCCTAGATTCAAAATACTTGTCAAAGTATTGCGTGATGGAGTCCAACAGAATGTTTTTGCTTGACAAACATTATAGTATTTGTGCAAATATAATGTCACAAACCTGCAAGGCTAAATCTCATCACTTTTACTTTGGCAAACTGAGTTGATAAAACAATGCACTCAACAATGAAAAAGAAGTATAAAAACAGTAAACTATACCTATAATGTCTTCTAGCGACGAGGTTTGAGGCCACTCTTCCTTCCCTCTCACCAACTCCACAATTACCCAGGAAGTTATTGCTGTCCATAATGGCCAGTTCATGTAGAAAAAGCTCAATGGTACTGTCATCCCATCCATCTTCTGGGCATTTACCCTAAGAAAATGATAGAATGGTGAGAAATCTGTGCAGATCTCTGCCCTGTACAGATCTTAATCTTTTGTATTAACTTTCAAGTGTCTATGATGGGACTTGCAACAACTACAACAACTATGTTTGTCACAAAAATAAGCAGGATTTATATGTTCACTTCAAGTATGTACCATTCCAGCTTACTGTCTGAATTTAGTTTTTGTACTCATGTTACCTGGTACTAATGTTGAGATTATTCCCCTTTGTTCCCGATTTCCCAACAGTGGCAACAGTTTCACTGCAGCTACCTCATCAAATCTTTAAGGCCTTGTTTACATAATTTGTTCCCTTTAATTTAATGCCCTTTAGGGAAGGAAATCTGCTGTTTTTTCTTAGTCTTGCAATGTGACTCCAGACCTACGGCAATGTCGCTGATTCATAACTGTTTTCTGAAGTGGCCTAGTGAGCCATTCAGTTCAAGGGCAGTAAGGATTGGCAATAAATGCTGCCCAACCAACGATAGCCACATTCCATGAAAAAAAAATTGAAAAATCCTTCAACTGTTGATATTCAAGAGAATATGAGCTATGTTTATAAAACCAGTCCCCAAGATTCCACCCTTTTGCACTGGTATTATTGCCCTGGTTAGTGAATATGCACCACCGTAGCCAAATATGTTTCCTGAGATGTTGTGCTCAATACTTAATATGAGTATGCTAGATGGATTTGACCAGAGCTCTAACCAAACAAATCCAAACCTAGGCTTAACTTCCTCACTTTTGTATTATAACCACACTGGAGACAAAATAGTTTGATCAACAGTAAAAAGTTAGTTTTGGAACCAGGCAAATGTGGTGCCACCTAAATGCTCTGCAGCATTCCAACGAATCAAATAATGGCTACAGTGTCAGCCACAGATCAGACAGTAGCACTCTCGCCTGAATCACACGGTTTCACATTCAAGTCCAATATTTGGACTACCAAGCACAAAAATCAAGGATGACACTGCCACATTATACTTTAAAAAAATTCATTCAGAGATGTGGATGTCACTGGCTAGATAAGTATTTAATGTCCATCCTGAATCACCACCTCACCCCCCAAGAAGGTGGTGGTGAGCTGCCTTCTTCCATGGCTGCAGTCCAAGACACCCACTGAGAGAGTACTGCACTGCTGGATGTGTAATCTTTCAGATGAACTATTAACCTGATGCCTAACGCACCTGCTCAATAATGCAAAAGGTTTTATGACACTACTTTGAAGGAGAACTGGGGATTTATCCTCAGTGTCCTGGCCAATATTTATCCCTCAATGAAAGATTATCTGTTCATTAACACATTACTGTTTGTGCAAGCTTGCTATGCAGGGCCTGACTGCCACAATTCCTTCCTACATTGCGATAGGAACTGCACTTCAGAAGTACTTCAAGCGTTATGAATCACTCCGAGCTGTTCAGTAGTTGTGGAAGGTGCTAAATAACGTGCCAGTCTTTTCATCCCTAATCTTGGGATGTCCTTGCCAGTATAAAGCTATGAAAAACTCCAAGGAAAGGAAACGAAAATTAAATGTTGCACATTTCCTTAATTATTGACAACAACATATGTCATAAGCACAATTTTTTGGTGAGCGTTCTCTTCAAAAGTCTTTTGCAGGGGATTGACTAGCTGTATGAAGAATTATTGATCAAGAAAAGTCTAAGCAACTAAGTCAATGGTTAGAGACAGACAGAGAGTGAGTGAAATAAAAGAATAGAGGAATCGATAAATTTGGAGTTTAGCTTTAAGAACAAAAATGTCCTAACTTATGATATTATTGCTAATTGCAATAGTGTTACTGTTGATCTACCTGAAACAATGCAAGACATTTGGGCAGGCACATGGATAGGAAAGGTTTAGAGGGACATGGGCCAAATGCAGGCAAATGGGACTAGTTCAGTTTTGAAAATCTGGTCGGCATGTACGAGTTCGGCTGTCCATTTCCGTGCTGTGTGACTTTATGCTTTATTTATGCATAAGTAAAAATAAAATTTGATTCAGTTTGTTTCTATAAAATAAATTACACAATGAATATTTTTGCTAATTGTTACCTGAATTTGTTTTCATTACCTTTTCTATTAGCAGCCGAATTAAGTGCTCATGTGTGCGACGAGCCTGTGAACCTTGTCGAATGTAGGAAGGAGAGACAATCTGTTCACTTAAAGAGAAGTTTTCAGGATTCATTCCAACTGTTGATGAGACAAAGATGAAACAAAATTTCATGTGACAGTGCTACAACTGAAACTCGCAGATTTCACATTATGCATCCACCTGCAGTTGCATACAGAGAATTAACCATCAAGGTATTACATATGTAATCAATCAGCGACTCACAGACACTATTTGTGTGATGTTTCAAATATTCTTTTAGCTCAAATATGCTTAATGTTCATTTAACATTCATTTTCATAATGTTACTGTGAAAACAGTGCATAATACATGTATCAATCTTGATAAATTGCCTCTACTCACAGACCACTACACTGAAAATTGCATGAAAGAGAATTAAACCAAATACAACCAATTTAATCAGTAAGTATTAAAGTTTATCCCTTAACTTGGTGTTTAATAGATGGAAATCAGCAGGTTTCTTTTTCTTTACAATTTCTTTCCTTCACTTCCTACCTGTAAATGTTGATTCCTTAGTGGGCAAGATTAACCCACAGTACTTCACACAACCAGCTATTATTTAGGTGTGAACTTCCAACCTCCCTTCCGAACTTATGATATTATTGCTAAATGTAAAAGTGTTACTATTGATCTACCTGAAACAATGAAAGACATTTGGACAGTACATGGAAAGGAAAGGTTTAGAGAGACATGGGCTAAATGTCGGCAAATGGGACTTGATTTGTTTAGGATATCTGGTTGGCATGGATGAGGTGGGCCAAAGGGTCCGTTTCCAGGCTGTATGACACTATGTTGATCTGCATTATTCAGTTATCCATGTGAGCCAACAGGGAAGCAAGGAGCTGTAAGCTTTATTTAAATTTTAAAATACTTTCTTTCCCTCTGCCGGAGGTGGGCATGAACCACCAATGATTAAATAGGGTATTTTTAAAATTTTGACATTTCAATTCCTTATGAGCACAAATTTGTAATCACAAATGCTAAGAGTGGAACAGATGTTGCAACTGTATCATGATCAAATAAGGTTCTTCAGTAGATTTGTAGCTCGTGTTGTGGATGCTGTGCAACACTACTAAAGGAACGAGACCTGAGTGACACCATCTCCACAGACAACATGCTGAAACTCTGGACCTATGCCTCACGATCCATTTTACCTTTAATGGCCAAATCTATGAACAGATCAACAGGGCACCCATGGGGTCACCTATCTCCGGACTAATAGCAGAAGCGGTGATGCAGAGACACGAAAGCATGGCCCTCCTGCAAATCCAACCCAAATTATGGATCCGATACTTGGACGACACTTTCGTCATCATTAAAAGGACTAAACTGGAGGAGACACACCAACTAATAAACAACACTCTCACCGGCATCAAATTCACCAGGGAATAGGAAAAGAATAAACAAATCCCATTCCTGGATGTCATGGTAGAACGCAAGGCCAATGGAGAATTCCTGACAAAGGTACACAGGAAAGCCAAACACACACGGACCAAGCACTGAATTTCAACACTAACCACCCCAACACCCACAAACGAAGTTGTGTGAAAATACTACTTAAACAAGTGACAACACACTGTAGCAACCTGGAATTACGCCAAAATGAAGAAGAGTGCCTCCACCAAATATTTAATGACAACAGATACCTGAGCAACTGGATCCGACGATGCCTATCACATGAACAACATCATGAAGATACTGCACACCCCAACACACTCATTATCACCATACATCAAGAACATATCCAAACTGACCACAAGACTCCTTCGACCACTGGGCATCAGAGCAGCACACAAACCCACGTCAACCCTACGCCAACTGCTAACTCGAACCAAAGACCCCTCACCCACTATGGACAGAACCAACGTAATGTACAAAATTCCATGCAAGGACTGCAACAAACATTACATTGGACAGACAGGAAGAAAATTGGCCACAAGAGTACATGAACATCAACTAGCAACAAAAAGACACGACCAATACTCACTCATCTCCATTCACATGGATAAGGAGAACCACCAGTTCGATTGAGACAACACCAGGATCCTAGGACAGGCCAAACAGAGACATGCACGGTAATTCCTGGAGGCCTCGTTCTCCATCAAGAAGGCCATCAAGAAACACATAGAACTAGACCGTATATATACACCACTGTGAAGGAAAACCAGAAATGAGGTAATCAAATCTAATGGACCCCAGAGTTTAAATACCAGGCGGGAAAACACAACAGTGCTTCATCGGAGGCTGCACTGATGATATTATCCAGCAGGGTAATGAAACATCTGCAAACTAACGAACAAGCTCAGCAAGCGAACCATCCACAGCATGATCTAATAAATTTTCATTAATTCTACTATTTTCCCCCATCTTGTACTACCATACCCCCAAGCACAGCTCATCGTATATGGTTGTACCTCTGCGATTTAGAACGTAGAACTGTACAGCACAGGAATGGGCCTTTCGGCCCATGATGTTGTGCTGAACATGATGCCAAATTAAATTAATCCATTCTGCCTGCCCTCGGTCCATATCCTTCCATTCCTTGCAAATTCATGTGCTTATCTAAAAGTGCTTTAAATGCCCCTATAGCATCTGTCTCCACCGCCACCCCTGGCTGTGTGTTGCAGGCTCCCATCACTCCCTTTGTAAAAAAACTTGTTCCTCACATCTCTTTTGAACTGTCCCCCTCTCACCTTAAATGCATGCCCCCTAGTTTTTGACATTTCAACTCTAGGAAAAAGATTCTGACTCTCAACCCCCATCTATGCATCTTATAATTTTATAGACTTCTATAAAGTTTCCTATCAGCCTCCACTCCAGAGAAAACAACCCGAGTTTTTCTAGCCTCTCCTTAAAGCTCATATCCTGCAATCCAGGCAGCCTGGTAAACCTCTTTGGCACCCTCCCCAAAACCTATACATCTTCCTGTAATGTGGCGATCTGAATTCAATGCAATAATCTGAAGTGTGGCCTAAACAAAGTCTTATAAAGCTGCAACACGACATCCTGACATCCCTGACCAATAAAGGCAAGCATGTAATACGCCTTCCTTACCACCCTATCTACTTGTGTGGCCACTTTCAGGGAGATGTGGACTTGAACCCCAACATCTCTCTGTACGCCAATGCTGCTCAGGGTCCTGCCATGAATTGTATACTTTTCCTTTACATTTGAACTCCCAAAGTGCAACATCTCACACTTATCCAGATTAAACTCCATCTGCCATTTCTCCATCCATATCTGCAACTGATCTATATCCTGCCTAATCCTTTGACAATGTTCTACACTATCCACAACTCCACCGATCTTTGTATTGTCTGCAAACTTACTAACCCACCCATCTACATTTTCATCAAGTCATTTATACATATCACAAACAGCAGACGTCCAGTATGGATTCCTATGGAACATCGCTAGTCATGGAAATCCAGCCAGAGAAACACCCTTCCACCACTACTCTCAGCTTTCTATGGCAAGCCAATTCTGAATCCATGGATCCTATGCATTTTAATCTTCTGAACGAGCTACCATAAAGGACCTTGTTGAATGCCTTACTAAAATTCATGTAGTAAACATCGACTGCTCTACTTTCATCTATCACGTTTGTCATCTCCTTGAAAAATTCAATCAAGTAAGTCATGTCCTGCCCCACACATATAGCCATGTTGACTGTCCCTAATTAGGTCGTGCTTTTCCAAACGTGCGTAAGTCCTATCCCTATGAATATTCTCCAAGAGGTTCCCAACCACCAATGTGAGACTCACCGATCTACACTTTCCTGGATTATCCCGACTTCTCTTTTTGAACAGAGGAACAACATTAGCTACTCGCCAGTTCTCCGGGATACCTCCAGTGACTAATGAGGATATAAAGATCTTGGTCAAGGCTCCAGCAATCTCCTCTCTTGCCTCTCTCAGTAACCTGGGGTAGATACCATTGGGCCTTGGGTACTTATCCACCTTATTGCTCTTCAAAAGACTCAACACTACTTATTTCTTGATTTCAAAATGCCCTCGCATCTTCGTATGCTCCACACAAATCTCTCTATCCTCCATTTTTTCCTCCTGGGTGAATGCAAAGTATTCAGGAGATGGGGCAGATACTAAACAAATATTTTACATCAGCGACAACAAGGTGCAGGGCTGGATGAACACAGCAGGCCATCAGCGTTTACTTTTGAAAAGGATATGGAAGATAGAGAACGTGGGGAAATAAATAGCAACATCTTGAAAAAAAGTCTATATTACAGAGGAGGTGGAGTTGGACATCTTAAAACACATTAAGGTGGATATATCCCTGGGACTCTATGGGAAGCTAGAGAAGTGATTGCTGGACGCCTTGCTGAGATATTTGGATCATTGATAGCCACAGTTAAAGTGCCGGAGGACTGGAGGTTGGCTGGCATGGTACCACTTTTTAAGAGAGGCCGTAAGAAAAAGCCAGGGAACTATAGACCAGTGATCCTGACATCAGTGGTGGGCAAGTTGTTGGAGGGAATGCTGAGGGACAGGATTTACATGTATTTGGAAAGGCAAGGTCTGATTAAGGATAGCCAATATGGTTTTCTGTGGGAGAAATCGTGTCTCACTAACCTGATTGAGTTTTGTGAAGTAAAGAAGAGGAATCATGAGGGCAGAGTGGTGGACATGATCTATATGAATTTCAGTAATGTGTTCAACAAGATTCCTCAGGGTAGACTGGTTAGTGAGGTTAGATCAAATAAAATAGAGGGAGAACTAGCTATTTGGATACAGAACTGGCTTGAAGGTAGAAGACAGAGGGTGGTGGTGGAGAGTTGTGACCAGTGGTGTGCCACAAGCATCAGTACTGGGACCACTGCTTGCCGTCATTTATGTAAATGATTTGGATGTGAACATCGGAGGTATGGTTAATAAGTTTGCAGAGGACACCAAAATTGGAGGCGTAGTGGACAGTGAAGAAGGTTACCTCAGAGTACAACGGGGCCTTGATCAAAGTCTTGGGTCAAAGTGCCAAGGATGGCTGATGGAGTTTAATTTATATAAATGTGAGGTGCTACATTTTGGAAAGGCAAATCAGGGCACGACTTATACACTTAATGGTAAGGCCCTGGGGAGTGTTGCTGAACAAAGAGACCTTGGAGTTCAGGTTCATAGTTCCTTGAAAGTGGAGTCACAGGTAGATAGAATAGTAAAGAAGGCATTTGGTGTTCTTGCCTTTATTGTTCACTGCATTGAGTATGGGCGTTGGGAGGTCATGTTGCAGCCGTACAGGACATTGGTTAGCCCACTTTTGGAATACTGCATTCAATTCTCGTCTCACTGCTATAGGAAGGATGTTGGGAAACTCGAAAGGGTTCAGAAAAGACTTACAAGGACGTCACCAGGGTTGGAGGGTTTGAGCTATAGGGAGAGTGTGAATCCGCTGGAACTGTTTTCCCTGGAGCATCAGAGGCTGAGGGATGACCTTATAGAGATTTATAAAATCATGAGGGGCATACATAGGGTAAATAAACAAGGTCTCTTCCTCGGATTACGATGTCCAAAACTAGGGGGCATGTGTTTAAGGTGAGAGGGGAAAGATTTAAAAGGGACCTAAGGGTCAACTTTTTCATGCAGAAGGTGGTGTGTGTATGGAATCAGCTGCCAGAGGAAGTGGCAGAGGCTGGTATAATTACAATATTTAAAAGGCAGCTGGATGGCTATATGAATAGGAAGGGCTTAGAGGGATATGGGACAAACACTAGCAAATGGGACTAGATTTATTTAGGATATCTGATCAGCGTGGACGAGTTGAACCCGAAGGGTCTGTTTCCACGCTGTATATCTCTATGACTCTATTTAGGATTTTGCCCACATCCTCTGCCTCAAAGCACAAGTTTCTGAAAATCACCAACAAGTAGTAGTGTCCATTAGATGTAGCATAAAGATTTGTCTTAAGCACTAGCACATCTTCCAGTTCTCCTTCTATAACTTGCAAAGTTCACACAGACCTGTCACAGGTCTCCGGTGTGTTACTATAGGAATATCTAAGCACTTTAATTGTGACCAATTAGATAAATTAAGCTCACAAAAATATCTGAAATGTGAATCCATCTTTCAATAATAAGAGCTGGACCTGCCCCACCTTTAAACCCAGAACGTTCAAACAGGAAAAGTGAAGAAATAAGAACAAACATAAATTTGACAGCTACATCTCCAGGCCTCATTACCTGCACTTCACTCTTAGGCTACAGTTTGGACAATTTTGTCACAGAGAATGTTTTTTCTTCTGAAGAAGGGTCACTGCACTCAGAAAGTTAGCTCATTTTCTCTCCACAGATGCTGTCAGACCTGCTCAGTTTCTACAGCATTTTCTGTTTTTGCTCGTATCAGATCTCCAGCATCTGCAGTTCTTTGTTTTATTCTTCTAAAATATTATTTCTCAATCGTGAAAATAGTTTTGGTTGAGGGGCAGTGGCAGAGCTATCCTGTTATTCTTCCAAAATGTCCATAAGACATTTTACATTTACCCGATAGGGATACCAGGATCTCCACTCAACATTTTATTTGAGCATCTCCAACAAGTAGCAGTGTCCACTTAGATTATGTTCTCAAATTCTAAACTGACAATTGAATCTCAACCTGACAACAAAGCTGCAGGAGTGTTTCCACTGAGCCAAGGCTGAAACTCAAACAGTCTTAAGGGAGTGAGAACATTCATTAGACATTCATCAAAGAGCTATATCATAGAATCCTTATATCTAAAAAAGCTCTAAAGGATTCTTCAACTAATAAATCGGTATCACAAATCGTGTTCGGAAACAAAAACGGAAGTTGCTGGAAAAGCTCAGCAGGTCTGGCAGCATCCCTTCAAAGGTTGTTGCAAGAAACAACGTTCCTCTGTCTTCACACCCTACACCATTTTCATGTGGCCTTTTGATGAGTTAGAAAGGGCTTCGGTGTAAAACACACATGCACCTGTTCCAAGGCTGGGGTCCCTCTTGCGAGAACCATAGGACAACATTTCCTTCCGCACACTTCTCCAGTGTTGCAGTGGACTTTGCAAACCTCAAAAAAAAATACCTCCTTGGAGAGTTCAAATCATTGGAATGAAGCAGGGTGAGGAGTTGGATACCTTCAAATGTCACTGTTAGATGTTGTTTTGGAAAGCATAGCACATGGATGTGTTTTTAGTGCAGTAATTAAAATGAAGTAGAAATGTGTCTGGCAAAATTAAGTTCCACTTGCATTGACCACCAGTTCATAAGAATGTTGTACTTACTGCACATTTTCATTTGGAAAATGGGCCACAATGCATGAAATAATGTTAAAAAAAATGTCTAGTCAACTTGTGCTGTCATGCTTTGCACTTTGCCCTAAATTGACCGACACTTCTGTATGTTAAAACAATCCTGATTTTGAGAAATGTTAAACGTGACTGCCTTGACATAACGAGGTAACAGCCAAGGCAGAAGAATGATTAGTGGTCCACACAATAAAAAGGACCAACATATGCTGGACCAAAGCATGCCACACCCATATTCTGAACTTACAGTTCAGGAAATGCCAGGCATAGATAAAATCGTGAGGGAAGGAGAGTCCCAGCTAGAAAATGGAACCCAAGCCTGCAGCTGGGAAACCTTGCTGCTGCCACGCTAGTTCGCTGGGTCATGACAGATGAGCTCCCATCTTATAGGCTGGGGACAGTCAGCATATGCTGTATTCTACCTTAAAAGGAGGAGAGGAAATAAATGCAAATAACTCTCACTGGAGAAAAAGTTCTAGGGAAACTGATGGGGCTAAAGGCCAAAAAGTCCCCTGAACCTGATTGGTATCAATGGTATCAATATGGATTTCACAAGCTTCAAAATCTCCCCTCCCCCTACCGCATCCCAAAACCAGCCCAGCTCGTACCCACCTCCCTAACCGGTCCTTCCTCCCACCTATCCCCTCCTCCCACCTCAAGCCGCACCCCCATCTCCTACCTACTAACCTCATCCGCCCCCTTGACCTGACCTATCTCCTCCCTACCTCCCCACCGACACTCACCTTTACTGGCTCCATCCCCGTCTCTTTGACCTGTCTGTTTCTTCTCCTCTATCCACCTCCCCCCTCTCCCTATTTATTTCAGAACCCCCTTCCCCTCCCCCATTTCTGAAGAAGGGTCTAGGCCTGAAACGTCAGCCTTCCTGCTCCTCTGATGCTGCTTGGCCTGCTGTGTTCATCCAGCTCTACACCTTGTTATCCCAGATTCTCCAGCATCTGCAGTTCCTACTATTTCTGATGCAAGAGTTGCAAACTGTTTCTGTAACGCTGGAAATGAGAAAGTAACTCACACTTGTCCACTCTGAGCTCCATCAGACTGTCATCAAGCCTGCAGTTAGCAGTGACCCTCTGTGGAGTACACTGCCCAGCTTGACCTGACCCATTCTGACCCACTGCAGCCAGTCACCCATTCCAGTTCAGAGGCCCTGACCGAGACCTCGGAGATAGAGTAATCACTTCACCCGTTTTGGATGCGCTCACACACAAGCCCGGTCGGGAGAGTGACCCCGCGGCCTTTCTCGATTAAAGGATATTTTCATTCAATAATACGTGACAATTCACTTCCTGACAAAGGCTGAAGCAACTCAACTCCTACCCTATACACTGTCCGAAAGGGAATCTGGCTATTTCGGGGCCAATGTACAAATTTCACCCGCCGTCTCTGAACCTTTCCGGGACGGTTCTCGCCAACATTAGCAGCACCTTATTCTCTGCCGCTGCAGGCAGCCTCTCGGTAGATTGTGCTGCCGCTTCCACTCCGGAAATATCTGTCTCAGCAGCGCCTAGTGCTTCAGATCGGAGAGAGCTCCTGTACTGAACTCCCAATGCTCGTGCAACCTCCACAAGGGGCTGGGATAAACATCGGGACAACATTGAGCAATCCAAAGCGGATGTCGGTGACTTGCTGATATTTGATTTACATTTGAATCTATGGGGTGATAGGAAGTGTGTCCTAACCCCATTCGGTATCAAAGACTTCAAGGAATCACCGCAATGCATATATTGAATTAGGTGCGAGTAGAAAACATAACGATTTCCAAATCCCAAATGAATATTGCCTGAATAAAGCTGAATCTATCCGTTGTCATTATTATTCGGATAATTTTATAATAAGATTCCTCCTTCATTCAATAAAAAGAACTGGAAGCAGATGCAGACCATTTGGCTCCTGGAGCCTCTTCCACCATTCAGTAAGACCATGGCTGATCTAGGTTTCGAATTCCATATTCCTACCTGCCCCCAATAAATTTTAATTCCCTTGACCAACAAGAATCTAACTACCTCAGCCTTAAATTATTGAATGGCCCCACTTCATACACCTCTTCAGGACCAGAGCTTCAAAGACTCAGTGCCTTCTGAGGAAAAAAATTCACCTGATCTCAGTTTTAAATGGACGACTCCCTGATTTTTCAACAGGAAACCTTATTTCTACATTATCCTAGAAAAGGACGTTATAATCTTTAGACATACTCTCTGTTTCCTGTTAATCAACTAATTATCTATTCACACCAATGTGCTATGACCTACACTGTGAGTTTTTATTTCCCAGCAATAACCTTTGATATATCACCTAATCAAATGCCTTCTGGAAACCCAAGTACATTACATCCAGCTGTTCCCCTTCATCTACAGCAAATGCTTCCTTCTCAAAAACCAGTAGATTGGTCAACCATCATTTTCCTTTCACAAAACCATGTTCACTATTTAAGTACTTTGAGCTTATACGTGTCCTGCTATAACTTCTTTAATAACAGATTTGAATATTTTCCCGAAGGCAGATGTTAAGCCAACTGGCTGGTAGTTTCCTGTTTTCTGTCTCCCTTATTTTTTGAATAAAGGAGTTAGATATGCTACCTTCTCATCTAATGGCACCTTCCCTGAATCAAACAAGATTTGTAAAATTAAGTCCAAGTCATCAACTATATCACTAGCCACTCGATGTAAAACCCTAAAATGAAGTCCATCAGGATTTGGGCACTTGCCATAATGCAGCTACAGCAATTTACTCAACACCACTTTTCTGCTGAATGTGATCCTCCCTCCCTTCCATTTCCTCATTTATTGTTGTTTCTGATGCTAAGTGTTGCGTAGTGAGGGGGGCCTGCAGAATTTGAGACTCTTCATCAAAACAGAGATTGAGGTCTTCAGAATTTTGAAGTATAGGGAAGTAAGGAAATATTATTACAACTGGTCAGTGAGTCATGAGAGGATATAAAATTGTGATCATAATCAAGACAAAAAAACTAAAGATTTTCAAGTTCTTACATTTGTTTTAACACAGGCAGAATTGTTAAGACAATAAAAATGAATACCCTGTCAGACCTTGGGTGGAAGTGGAATATATAATGGCCTTCAAATGTGAGATGGATTAATATCTGAAAATGAAGAAATGAAAATGTTATGGGGAAAGGACAGGGGAAGTAGGATTGTAAGAGCAGCTCTTTCAAAGTGTCAGTATTGGCATAGTGGGTCAAGTGGCCTTGTTTGAGAATATAAAAGTCAACTCAAGAGAGTTTTAAACAAAGTACCATCTCATTTTTGTCATTGTGCACAGGGCCTTGAAATATTTGGTGCAACCATGCAAGTGCAATAACTTAAAGGAGCAAACTTGCTCATAGCTTGGGTAGGAACTTGCAGTTTCCTGCACTGCTGTGTGTCCCTGCAGCTTTAGAGCAAACACTAATTCCAAACTTAGAATCAGAGAATGACACAGCACAAAAGGAGGGCACCAGGCCTCACATGCTTGTGCAGAATAAAGTATCTTTGAGAATTAAGGAATAACCTTGAATGACATTGCTTTAGATGATTAATTAGTTGTGGTGGATTCCATAAAGCAAATTTTTTGAGGCATATGGCAAGCATGGAAGTAACAGGTCAAATTATTATTTCTTTTCCAAGTTTTTAATGTTCTTGCACTCTTTCAGATGCTAAGATAAATCACTGAGATAGAAACTAAATTAGGAACATCATCACTCTATTAGTCGTTGAGAGCTGTTGGTGGTGTCGATGGTAACCATGATGTAGATGGAATTTCTTAGTCAGCCCAGTGATGTCTACTTGAAGGAATGGATTTGAGACAAACATGTCAATTTGTTCCATCATATCTAATTCCTGAAAATACCTGTTGAATTCTCCAATGTGTACAAGAGGTTTTCTGTGTAGAACCATTTTTCGTGGACTTTTTTTTCTAGAATTTTCTCCAGCCTTGGCAAGTGTTGCTGTATTTTGTTGGAAGGACACAGACTCAGTTTCAAATTAAATGCATTCACAGCACTGGTCATTCGTGCTAAGTCTCTGTCCTTTCCCTGCAGTTCACAGTTCAGCTCATTCAGTTATGTCTGTAAGGAACCCAAAGTCGAGCAACCACATCTTGTCTAATAGTTCCCCACACACTTCATTCCTTGTTCTAAGAAAAATCTGAGGACCTTCCCTCAAATTAATCACTTCACCTCAGTATGGAGGATAAGTCATCATAGACAGCAATGAATTTGTCAAGTAAGGATTTAAACAAGCAATGTTGAAGGATGTTTGCTCGAAACAAGTCTTTAATCTTAACAAAAACTTTCATTACTTAAAAGGTCATAACTTTATTCACCAATGCTTGCTGCTAATTGACAAAAACAAAATCAGGATCATTTCTGCAAAATGCAACAAAGTCCACATTTGTGCCAAACATAGCTGGTGCACCATCAGTTGTGATGGAAACCAGTCTCTTGATGAAATGTTTTTCTCAAGCATGTACCTTTTGAGTTAGTTGTCGATATTCCCACCCCTTTGTTCTCTTTTTACAGGCAAAAGATTGAGATCTTTTGTTGGTGGTCCTTAAAAACCATACGCACAAAAATAATCAGCTGGACTGTGACCATCATGTTGAAAATGCAATGAGAAGCATTTTCAGTCCTCCAGGCCCTGCTGAAGTTCCTAAAAGACGTCTTCAGATAAAGATTCCAATCATCCTGTTAATGTGGAAGTAGCAAGTGATTGGTGCTCTGTATTGCGATATTATTTCTTCTTTGTTTTTAAAGCCTTTGAATAAAGATTCAGAGGCTGCAGTCATCATTTCTTTAATGGCTTTGTCATTTGTGAATGTTTGTCAGAAAATGGTAAATATGATATGACACTTCAGTGCAGGCCTTAACTTTTGCTGCTCATTTAGAAAAACTAAATGACTGTTGAGCTTGGAAAATAGCCTTCAACTTGTCAGTTTTCTTTATCCAAAACATGCCGATCAAGGAAAATCTATCCTTGATTTTAACTGCATTGCTCTGTGGTATTGTTTCAAATTCCCTTTCTTACTTATCAATATACTTTGGTGACATTTAAGGCAAACACTTTTTTACAGCTGTGACGAAAAGTTCATTTTCCTATTCCAACTGGAAGATGTACACTTTTAGTTTCTATGTAGATGGTCTAGATTCATCGCTCATCATTACTGCTTCACTTTGTGGTATGTCACATCACACTGCAGGTAGGCCTCTGACTCTATGCCTTGGGAACATCCAGAATGTTGCTGATTATTTTGAAGTTGAGGCATGGCAGCTCACTTCAATTTCTTTCTGGGCTCCTAGTCAGCTTGCATTCTGAGACCTAATCCTCTCCCCTTTCAAACTTGACACAAAATCCAATCATATTGTATTTGCTGCTAACTTCGATTAATTTAACTCTCAGGTCATTAATTAATCCTGTCACGTGGCATAGTACCAAGTCTATTATCACCTGCTCTCTGGCCAGTCATATGACGATCTCAAAAAGTTAGGGCTGTACAGTGGTAATGTGGTTAGCACAACTGCCTCATAGCGCCAGGGACCTAGGTTTGATTCCAGCCTTGGGCAATTTTAAATGTGGATTTTGCATGTTCTCTATGTGTCTGCTCCGGTTTCCTCCTATAGAGCAAAGATGAGCAGGTTAGATGATTGGCCATGCTACAAGTGGGGTTATGTGGATGGGATGCTCTTCGGAGGGTCGGTGAAGACTCGGTGGGCCGAATGGGCTTTTTCCGCACTATCAGGATTCTGTGAATCTAAGTACTTCA